TGTGTGTGCGTATGAGTGTGTGTGTGAGTGTGTACGTGCGCGTAAGTTGGCGTATGCAATGTGCGTATGTGGCAAATCTATTTTTGTGAAAATAAATAAAATGCTATCTCATCATTTCGTATCTTATCTAATCGTCCCCACTGTTCCCTCTTCCCTATACTCCTTTCAGCATCTTTCAAGAACTCTGCACGGGCCACGGATGCCTATGTGACTGTGCCTGTGATTGGAGATCCAAGCAGTGCTCTGTGGGCCAGCAGTGGAAAGGAGACTCTAGCCATTGATGATTTCATGGAGAGAGATAACGATATGGTCTGCTCTGTCTACTACAGCGCTGTCAACGACAGAGACATTCTGTGGGCTCTGGGTAAGCCACGTTAGTCGAATAGAGTATACCCGGGATGTTTGGTAGATCGTCAGCCTCTTCTTGAAAGTGTAGAATGAACTTTTTTAAACTTCGATTGTTGCCTTCACTTCTTGAGTTCTTTTGTTGTTGTTGTTGTTGTTGTTGTTTCATCATTCGCTATCAACCAGCCTCTTGCCCTTCACTTGTGGTGAAGTTTCCCAAAAAGTTTATAATATAATGATTATGATAAAACCGGGGAAGAGGACAGGAAAGTGTACTGTATTTCGGAGACATCATCACTGATTCACAACCTCTTCTCAAATTGCCTTTGACAAGACTGTTCACTAGCTGCACGTCTGTAGAATGTTGTGCAAATAAACAAACACTTTTAGGGTTAAAGTCTCAGTTCCTATAACTGCACAGGACTCACCAACATTTTTATACGTTCTGTAGATCATTTGCCCATATCCAAGACTCTTAAAGATGTGTTGTTAAGGTCGTTATTTCTATACATCGTTTTAAAATGAGAATTGTTAGAGGGGTGTACGAAAAAGAAGGGATGGGTCAAAAGAATGATTTCACTGTGGATTTTTTTTCTTTTCTTGTCAGGCAATATTCCCAAGACACAAGACCTTCAGTGGCGTTTCAATCATGGCTTCTACGGCTACGAGTTTGTGGGCAGACGCAGCAACGGAGCTAGAGTTATTGGTCTTGTCCCTGGTTTGGTAAGCTCACGAGTGTTGATAGTGTGGTCACAGTGTGAGTCTTTGTCTCATCAATGTTATTGTGCTCTTTATTCGTCCGACTTTCTTTGTGGGTTTTTCTCCCATGAAGCATGTGGCTTTGTGTAGAGAAACGTTTGCCCCTCAAGATTGAATATAATATTTTAGTATGAAAGCTTTCTGTTCTGAATCTAAGCACTGGCGTCTGCAGTGTCGGATACCCGAGTTTGATTCCAGAGAGGGGAGTCGTTTTATCAAGTAGATCTATATAATTTATATGCATCTGTCTGCTGGAACACTGTATCCCTTTTTCAGTGTTTGTTATGTTTGTTTACTTTCCTCTCCCTCCTCCTTGATGGGTATGAGAACTAGAATGGCCATATCTAGTTTTGCACATAGATTCGATGAGTTTTGTTGAGAGAGATTTCTCAAAATAGCCCGTTTCAACTCGCGTGTCTCCCTGCCTCAGGCTTTGGCCACAAGTCTGAACTACAAACGTGGCCTTGTGATGGACCTTCCTGACAGTTGGACCATGAAGGACGCAGCTTCAGTTCCCTATGCCTATTGCTCTGTCTACTACGCTCTGGTGGTGAAGACTCCACTGAGAGAAGGTCAAAAGATACTGGTGCATTCGGGTGCCTCTGCTACAGGGACAGTAAGTCCAGCTGTGTGTTTGTGTGTGTGTGTGTGTGTGTCTGTCTGTCTGTCTGTCTGTCTGTCTGTCTGTCTGTCTGTCTGTCTATCTATCTATCTATCTATCTCTTTCCTCTCTCTCTCTTTTATATATATATTTATATATATATATATATATATATATATATATATATATATATATAAATATAAATATATATATTGTGTGTGTGCGTGTGTGTGTGTGTGTGTGTGTGTGTGTGTTTCTCTCTCTCTATCTCCCTCAGTGTCTCTTTGTATGTGTGTGTGTGTGTGTGTGTGTGTGTGTGTGTGTGTGTGTGTGTGTGTGTGTGTGTGTGTGTGTGCGTGTGCGTGTGTGTGTGTTTGAGACCTCTTATATTTCATTATATGACAGTATTTGGCTATAGGCTCGAGCTTTGTGCAGGAATGAAAGTAATTGACGTTGCATATATTATAGCACATGACAAAGCTCCAGCTGAAAATACCATTTTTGAGAATGGTAATGTTGCTTCCATTGATTTAAACAATACTTATCCAATAATTTTTTATTTCTATTACCACTTTCACTGTTTTAGTCAGTGTACTTTGGGCTGTTTTTTTTGTTGCTACCCAGCACCCATACCCGTGCCCCTCTGGTTATGTTTCAATTACCTGCGTTCTTTGCCTCACCCCCTAGGCTGCCATCCGTACAGCTCTCAGTGTCGGCGCCACTGTCTACACCACAATTGAGTCAGAAGAGGAGAGGAAGTATATGAAGAAATATTTCCCCAAACTAGCGGAGTCTCACATTATCTTCAGGAAACAGGAACTAAGTATCACTGACGGCATTGAGAAACTGACCAGTGGTCAAGGTATGGATGGGCTGTGCTTCTGGAATCAGATTAATTTATATGAGCTGAGAATTGTAACGGTTGACAAAAACACTGATTCCAACTCTGCATGATTTATTAGACCTAAATTTGTTCCACTGTCATGAGTTGGACGTATTTATTATTTTTTTTCTCAGTGCAAAATTTGTAACGGGTTGCTTCTTTGAGACTAGAAACTCAAATATGAACTGCTTTCTCTCAATTCCACGTCAGTGGTTGTCTGTGGCCCGCCACAGTGTACAAGCAAAAATATAATTGTGTTCTTCAGCATCCCTAGCTTTACCTTTAGTCCATGTGGGCAATCCATTCTATTTTATAGATTAATGACAACCCTTTCCAAATGCAAAGCCCACAATGATTGTTGACAGTACCCTGAAGATGTGCTATGAATATTTTTAAATATTTATTCGTGTCCGTAGGTGTGGACGTGGTTCTGAGTCCTTGTGCCAACGACGAGCTCTTTGAAGAAAGTGTCTCCTCCCTTGCTTGCTGCGGCCAGTACGTGGAGATTGGACGCACAAACACCAGCAAGGTTGTGGAAGCCTTTGGTGAGTCACCTCGTACAAGGCACAAGAGCCTCCCTCATCAATACTTGAATCTGGAGTGCGTTATTGTCGCTTGTGGAGGGCTTTGGCCGAAATAGAGCAATAATACAGGTTTAGCCTTTTTAAAGGTGCTTTTCTAAGTAAGGCCTCTGTACTGTTGACTATTCGTTTGAAAAAGAAACACAGGGCGGCGGAGATTCTTTTTGTAAGAAAATTGTTCAAAATGAAAAGCAGTCATTCGTGATTATTGTAAACCAACGTTATCATGTATTTGATACTTCACACAAAACAAAAACATCCTAAGTATCCAGACTGATGCCGTTTTGAACTATCTTTACCTTTTTTTCTAAGGTTGAAGAAAGTGCCCAAACAACCATTAAATACCACACTTATCTCGTTACTATTTCCCATTTATTTTTAAGACTATAAAAATTTGGGTTTTTTCTTTTAAGTTACTTTTCTTAGCGCTAAGTACTCTGTTGGAAAACAACCGTGTTTTTTCCTTCTTTTCAATGTATTCTTGAGATTATTGTAACATTCTATAACAAATAAGACTTATTTCTTGCTGTTGCAAACTGGTAAAACACATCTATGAATTTTATTTCACTATTTCGCCTCTTTTTATGATGTCTAGAATATTAACAGACGTCGTCTGTGGTGACGTGAGCTCGATTCTCGTATGATGATTTTTTCATTAATTAGTGTATCTGTCTGTCTGCTGGGATGCTGTATCCCTCTTAGCCCGGGTTGGACTTTACAGGCTCTTTCAGAGATATAAATTGCGTCGATGGGGGCTATACGTTTTATTCTAAAATATGATCCATTTATATTGTTACTGCCTTCAGCGGCCAAACTGATGCAGAGGAACATGACGTACACACGTGTGGACACTGTGGTCATCCTCAACGACAAGGCCAGCCATGCCAAGCTCATCCAGTGTGTGGGCAAGGACCTGGAAAGAGGAGTTATCAAGCCCATCGGTGCCACACTTTACGAGGCCGCACAGATCAGCCAGGCCTTCAAAGCCGCTTCAGAGAACAGGGTGCTTGGAAAAGTCGTCATACAGGTACCTCATGTTTCCGTCCTCTATTATAATACTTACATACATGCTTTGAGAATGTGCCCAGCAACGTCTGTTTTACAAGCGGTGGTTGTTAAAGAAGAGTGGCATCTGGAAACCCGTGGGTTTTTGGCGATTTTCCGGAGTTGTTTCATGTCATACATTCTGATGGTTCTGACAAATTCTGACAAATTTCCTTCTTTTCGGTTTTTCGATTTTTTAAATTGAAATTATTATTATTATTATTATTATTATTATTATTATTATTATTATTATTATTATTATTATTATTATTATTATTATTATTATTATTATTATTATTATTATTATCATTTTATTTGGGGGGGGGGGGGGATTCCACAACAAATGTAGTTAAATTCATTTTAAAAAACGTGCCTTTTATGGAAAAGTTGTAACATGATCTGTCCATAAATACCAAATATAACCTTCACGTACAGTGGCCTCATCTGTCCCATGAGCTTCCCTGCGTTCACTTTGAGATTTCATACCTAGTGAGTCTTGATTCAATTCCTTTTTTTTTCTTCCTAGATTCGGGAGGAAGAGCTCTACGACAGCTTCCTCTCTCAACCCTTGAGTCTTCCCGTCAACCCACGGGTGACCTGTGACCCCAGGAAAGTGTACATCTTGTGTGGTGGCCTTGGAGGGTTTGGACTGGAAATGGCTCACTGGCTGGTGCAGAGGGGTGCCAGGAACATCGTGCTCACCTCCAGGTGTGTCCCTGAGTTCAGCATCTGTTTCAGACAGAAGCACTTCGACCCAGATACTACTAAATAATAGCAAATAAATGGCGTTTGTATAGCGCATATTCCCGCTCCCTCAACAGCAAGCTTAACGCGATTTACAATCTACAGTCAAACCCCGTTATACCACCTACCTCGAGATGAGCATGAAGTAAGCGGAACAGACGGGATGGCGGTATAACGGGTTGGCGACACTAATTTCCGTTTTGCCACTTGGTAGAGACTATAGACAAACAGTGGCCAACCTTGACTCATCTAGATCTGGCATGCACAATTGTCACGTTCAGGGGAAAACGAGTGAAAACAGTTACATGCACATCTAGCTCCACTTGAACTTTACGTAAGTTCAAGCTGAAAACTTCTGCCGGGTCAGAAACTAGGCTATTTGTGTCAAGGGACCTGTAGACGTACCGTTGTTGTTTTTACCCGATAACCAATCCCCCCCCTCCCCAATTTTTTTTACCCGATACCCACCAGTCTCGGACCCACACAATATAAAAGCCTCACGGGCGCCCACCAGCCTTTTGGTCACCGGGTTGATATCTGGCAACGCCAAATACAAGATGGTCCAAGAAAAAACTTTATAATTTTTAAAAATAATAATTTTCTTCACTCTCAAGCTTTGTGTTTCAATTTTGAAAACATTATGTGGCAACCAAAAGGAATTTATCTGATATTCATTTTACATAATTCCACAGAACAGATTTACTTTACATAGCACATAAGGAAACAACCTATTTTTAGACTAGTCCCCATTTGTGTAGCATAACGCAGTAGTTCACTTTAGGCATGCCACTAAAAGTCACTACAATCACGCCATATTGCAAGCTACAGCAGTTTGACAAGTCCCAGACTTTTCAAGATATCGTTTTTCTCAAGTTTATGTTGCCTGCTGAGATCTTGGATAAGCTTAGGAAAGAGGACAGAGGTTTTTAAAAAAAATTAAACATTGCATTGCATTAAATTTAATTTTCTCCAAAATCTTGCCAGTGATGGATAGTCTACTGGTTCAAAAAAGCTGTCACCAAATTACACGGTGTCGTATGTTAAGACAGGACAAGATTTTTATAGTTATTGTGGATGTTGTGGGTGGTATTGTCGTAAAAGTGTACTAGTAACGCCCTTTTGAACATCATACGGCTATTTAACAAGTGAGACTTCCTTGTTTAATATCCATCTCCGATAGAAGCAAATCAAAATTGGTGGAGAGACTTAAAAAACCTAAAGCAACTCAAGTATAAGAACACCCCGTTGTGGATTCAAACCATAGCCATCCGCTCTGTTGCCTAGTACGGTACCAACTGAGCTAACGAAGCACCCACATTAATTTGGCTAAGTATGGTGGGCTTGCTTACAAGCGTGGACTAAAATATTGTAAGGCATGCCATGTGGTTTTGTCACACTCACACACACATACACTCACACACACACAAACACACACATATACACACACACTCTCTCTCTATATATATATCTATCTCTCTCACGCGTGCTCTCTCTCTCTTTCTCTCTCTCTCTCTCACACACACACACTCTCTCTCACTCTCTCTCTTTCGTGTCCATTGATGGGAGCGTAAAAACACTTCGATTGAGAAAGGAAATTGAAATACATTTATCACTCCCATTGTCGGGTTTCAGACGTGGTGTGAGAACCGGCTACCAGGAATACAAGATCACGATGCTTCAGAGGTATTACAAAGCTAACATTTCTGTGGTGGCCACCACGCTCAAGTCCACCGCTGATGCACGTGCACTTATACAGCAAGCTCAGCAGATGGGACCTGTAGGAGGCATCTTTATTCTCACTCTGGTAGGTTCATGCTCAGTGTGATACATTGCATCTATTTCTAAATTATATATATATATATATGAATGATATTT